GTGGACCGAGCGTTTCATTAGTTAACTTCAACATTAGTTGACATTTGAAATTCTTTTTTTTTCCTTTATCTTTCTTTTTTCTTTTTAATTTGTTTCCGGTGGTGGGTTGTCGGAACTCCGGTTTGCTGACTCAACGTTAGTAAACTTCAACATTAACTTAAATATTAGTTGACATCTTTTTTTTTTTTTCTAGCGGCTGTTCGTCGGAGCTCCGGTTAGCGGACTCAGCATTAGTTAACTTCAACGTTAGTTGACATATCATTTTTTTTTGCGGCGGATCGTTGTAGCTCCAATTAGTTGACTTGTATTAGCAGATTTCGTATTAGCTGACTTCAACATTAGCTGCGTCCAACTTTTTTTCCTTTTAAGTTTCTTTTTTTTTTTTTTTTTTTTTTTAGATCTCCCCCCTTCAAAACCGGGCAACATAACGTCGATGTTCTGATTAGCTGACTATACATTCGTTTACTTTGCAGCTAATGTCCGATCATTTATTTTAATTGCTCCTTATAACTCTTTCCGACGGTTGGTATTTAGGACTCCGATTAGCTGGTACCCGCCAATGTTAAAGTTAACTAATGTTGAAGTTAATTAATGTTGACTGAACTAATTAACCAGAGATTTGACGACTAGCCGCCAAAAAGAAAATGTCTACTAATGTTAAAGTTAACTAATGTTGAGTCAGCTAATTAGAGCTCCGACGACCCACCACCGGAAAAAATGAAAAGGATAAAGAAAAAAATAGATTATTTAAAGTTAACTAATGTCGAGTCAGCTAACTAGGGATCCAACGACGCACCGTCAGAAAAGAAAAAATCTTAAAAAAAATTGTCTTCCAATGTTAAAGTTAACTAATGTTGAGTCAGCTAATCGGAGCTCCGACGACCCACCACTGGAAAAAAAATTAAAATAAAAAATAATGAATTGTTTAAAGTTAATTAATATCGAAGTTAACTAATATTGAGTCAGCTAACTGGAGCTCCGACAATCAGTCGCTGGATCTATGTCAAATTCACCATTTATTAATTTATAGGGGGGAAGTGTGAAAATTAAAGATTTCTTGGAGGCGAAATGCATTTTGTCCTTTGGTATACATGGTGCAGGAATTGTAGGCTTCATGGTGAAAAATGGTATTCTCTCAACCTTAAAATATTGCCCTACCAAACCCACCTGGCTCTATCTATTAGTAACAAACATTTTAAGATTTTAGAAAATATTCTTATGAAAAGTCCACTTAGGGGTAATCCTAGTCATGGTTATCGGATCGTAAAAATATTTCGTATCGTTTTGCTCCACATCTCGTACCGTATCGTTATCGTATAGCCGTTTTGTTTCTGATAAATATTTCAATTTTCAAGAGTCAATTATGTGCAACCATTTCAAGGAAAACGAAAACAAGTACGTCCTTGATCGCAGATGAATAAGAACGAATAATTCGATAACTACCATCTTCGTATGGGGGCAAACTAATCAGAATTTTGAATGAGCGCAACACAACACACTTTTCTTGCTCGAGTAGAAATCACAAACTTACACTCCGCAATTCATTAAATTTATATATAAGGTAGCAAACAATTTATCTTAGAATATACAGTAGAACTTGATGAATTAATAACATTGCTTAAATAATAGTTTCTCTGGGTCCCGACTCGGTGAGAACGTGTTAAATTATTAACTCGATAATTTAATAATTCGCTAAATTAATAGAATTTCCATAGTCCCGACTATATTAATTTATAGAGGTTTAACTTACAAAATTCTATTAATTTAGCGAAATATTAAATTATCAAACTAAAGATTTAGTACGTTTTTACCGAGTCGGGGTCGAAATAAATTATTATTTAAGCGAGATTATTAATTTAACAAGTATTAATTTATCGAGGTTCTACTGTACCAAGAAACAATTTGGTAGATTAATTGTTACCGAGAATTCAGTCGAACAAGGCTTGCCACGCTAAACAGAGAAGAAAACATGGTCGGTTGACGATGGATACGAATCTTCTTCTTCACCAATTTGGTCTCGAGATCGAACCACACGAACTCCTTTTTATCGTGCTGCAGAAGAACTTCGCCTCTGCGCTTCGAATAAGCAATAGGCCTCAAAGTCACGACCAAACCAACAAAGTCCGAAACCCCAACCGAAAACAACTTAACCCACGAGTTTTCAAGCCCGTAATCCTCCATCGACCAAACGTCCAAACGTTCAACCCGAGAACAGCAACACAGAATCAAACACCCACCCAACGCGCTCAAATGCTTCGCCAACGGCTTCTCGTATCCATAGACATCAAACGGCAACGGCAGCAAACGATACTCTCCGGTGCTGAGATCGAGACCGACAATCAAATCGTCAGTGTGTTTAAGTGGCAACGTACCCGAAATCCAATGCAACGCGCCTTCCAAGAAAACCGCACCGCTCAATCTCGATATCCGATAAGGAAAATCGTTGATTTTCCTCCAAGAACCCGACTTTAAACTGTACAACATCGTCTCCGATTTAAGGCTTCTGTCTCTCGGATCGAAAATTTGCGCGATTTTCACGACTTTAAAGTCGTTAGAAGCGGAATCGTAACCGAGCCCACTCACCGAATGGTATAAACCTCGAGTTTTCTTGCTCATTGTAGTGACAGGTGGCAAGTTGTGGAGATCTCTGGTTAGTGGGTTCCATAATAAATAGTTTCGCTTTGAGTAAGAAATCAGAATTACGCCATTGCACGAGGACAGGGGTGAATTCGTCCATTCGTGAGTTGGTGTGTGTTTAAGAAGGGTTGGTTTGACGGTGTCGGAATTAACGGAGTCAATTGGTAAGGAGTAGAACCTGTTATCGAGATCGCCTCTGAGGATGAGGCGGCCGACGCCGTTGGATGAGTCTCGAGCGTTGAGGAGTTGACGGTCGAGATGCAGTCTGATGAAAATCGGATCGTCGATTGTTTCGCGCCACGACTTACACACGCACCTGAAGCGGAGGAGGGGCTCGGCGGGCAATAGCGAGAGTATTTCGCGACACAATTCTAGGGGAATTTCAGACATTGTTTGGGGAAATTGGGAGGTGGTGATTTAGGAGGGAGAATTGGGGATTAGGGTTTCGGGTAGAAACATGAATTGGGGGTTTGCCATTGACGGTGACTTTGTTGCAGATAATTTTGATCCTGCAAATGAAGAGGTATGCACAGAAAGAGTTTAATCTCTACTTGTCGAATAAGCCCATCAATTAAAAGAAGGGTAAATTTACGAAAAAACCCATTTTGTTTGGATAATTACACTAATCCCCTTAACTATGATTTTTTCTTACACCTCCATCCTTATAGTGTCAAATTCAACATAATCATCTACATTTGTTGGAATGTGCTCTAGTTTAATTTGTACTCATTTTGTGTCAAAATACAGTTTCTGATGCACCACAGTCTGATATATACAAGTCAAAAAATACATATTATGATCATCTTACTTCAAAATGTGAGGTTCGAGTGGGATAAAGCGGGTACAAAAGTGATAGTATTCCATATAATCTCGAAGATTCCACTAAATTTGAAATCGCAAGGGTGGCCGTGTAAGAAGATTTATAATTAAGGGGTAGTTGTAATTACCCAAACAGACGGGGGTTTTCGTAATTTGACAATACCTTGGGGGCTGTAATTTACCCTTCAAAGAATTAGCAAATTACCCCTATCTTGTTTTGCAATGCACATGGCCTCTTGCATCAAAATTATCGATTAATTCACTCAAGTTTGAATCCTCTTACCAACGATTGATATGTCGAATTTGTCACACATAATTAGCTCAAGCCCTAATGTGATTTACGTCTTTCGTATGATTTTCAAGCTATTATAGAAGTGTGCAGATTCCTTTATTACCGGAAAAAAAAATTATCGATCAAAATTATGCATTGACTTAGACGAAATGACAAAAGTAACCCCTAGAATTTAAACATTATTTCAATTTTAAATAAACAAAATAGAAAAGGACAAATTAAGGCCACCTGCACCACTACCAATTCCGAGTCGAGGATACTGGGGTTTAAGGCTATCTTTTGTTTGATAGTTGACAAATACTAAGTGATAATGAAAAATTGTTCTTGCATTAGTTAGATTGAATAATTGGGTTTTATATAACAATATATTGGACATTACATGCTACATAATTTATTGTTGTAAATCATACTAGAGACGTAAACATCATTAGACTAATCATGTAAACAACACTAGGCTAATCATAATTCATGTGCGACAAGCTCCACCTAACTATTGCCAAGTGGATTCGAACCTGAGTCAATTGATATATATACATTTGCTCCAACCAGACTAAACTCACCAAACAGTTGCTAGTGGTTATATCATATAAACCCGGTGATTTAAAGCACTTAAAAGAGCAAGAACTTGCAACATTTGTTAAGAATACTTCAATTCATAACCATGAGCATTAGCTCCATCTACAAAAGTCAACATTACAATATTATGTGGTAGATATAAGATAATTACATATTTATCCACGCAAAAAGGAATTGGAGAAGAAACGATTGATTGACGAACGGGCATCTTCGGTTCACCCATTGCTTTCACTTCCACAAAAGAAAACAAAACAACTCCTCCAAAGTACTAAACATCACTTCGATAGGAATGAGAACGAGTATCGGTTATTGTTACAGAGTTCTTAAACCTGCAAGGCAAAAAGAAAAAAAAAAAAAAAAAAAAAAAGAATCCCCGTCATTTACAGCGCAAAAGAATGTGAAAAAAAAAAAAAGAATCCCCGTCATTTACAACACAAAAGAATGTGAAAAATTTATAACATGAAAGGTTAATACATACTCGAGAATAAGGTAAAAGCTCCACATGTTCGTAAGGTACAAACTTTCTATTTCTCATTGCATCCGTTTCATCGTTAGCATATTTATCATACAAATATCTCGTCCCCACAAATTATTAACAGCCTAGTATTGCAAACGATGAAATAAGGGCCAAAAGTTACGTTTTGCTGCTACGTTAAAACATCTTCCAAGTCGCAACAAATAAAAGTATACTATTGCACTCAATTGAAGAATCATATTTAGATGGAATAACTCTTTAAACATCACGTGCACTAAGATTCTCATGCTAAGATAAATCCCACCAAAATATCCTTCAATCTACACGGAAAAAACAGGATTTCGTATTTTGAACTACATGTCTACGTCAATTATAAAAATTACCAAAACAGAAGTTAACAAGTCGTATAAATCGTCTAAAGAAATAAAAAGGGCTAGATAGATTGAGTAGTTTCACGGTTTCACCTTTGATTATACTTGTTCTTCATCCCTGCTGTACTTTCCACTGCAACATCACAACTCTCATCGAGTCGAAAAAGGCTTCTGGGGAAAAACTGAGAAGAGAAATTATCCGGGAGCCCATCAATCGTAAACTTCTTCGCAAAATTTTTCTGCATGTCCAACATAAAAAACCCTTTATCATGTTGCAGAAAAAGCTGCCCTTTGCTCTTGAGATAAGCAACCGGCCTGAGATTCCACATAAAACCACTACCATATACTCCGCCAAACGAAAACAACTTCACCCACTCATAATCTTTCATCACCCATCCATCGATTCGCTTCATCGAGTAGTATTCACTCAGAACCAAGAATCCGCCCAAAGCATCGAGATGAGTTTCGAACGGATTCCCTAAACAAGGTGGGAGAGGAAGTTTGTGGTAATGTTCGGTCTCAAGATTCAGAGCAATTACGAATTCATGTGATCTCCAGTACATTACCCCATTCAGAAAAACCGATGCGTTCGGATTAGGCACGGGAAAATGACGAGGGCAATCCTCGCTCATTTTCCAAGATTTCGTTTTCAGACTATAAACACGAGTTTGGTACACAGATTCATTACCAAGGTACAGTCGATCTACCCTCACAACTTTGTAGTCATCGGAAGCAGAATCATATCCAATCCCACTACCTACTAAGCGTGGATATTTGATGTCGGGTTCGGGCAACTTGTGCAACTGTCGGGTTAACGGGTTCCACACTAGCCATGTCTTTTCGATGTAGGGTTCGGAAAGGAGCATCAGGCCGTTGCAGGAGGCCACCGGCAACTCAGGTATTCGAGGGACGCCTTTGCGGTACAAAGCCTGCACAGGAATTACGTCGAGCACTTGGTGGGCATCGTTGTTGTAGTCGAGGGAGTCAAAAGATATAGAATAAAGGCGAGTACCGTCTGAGTTTCTGATGAGGAGAGTGGCGGAGGAGAGTTGGTTGTCGGTGTGAGATCTGATGAAGGATGGATCGTCGATGAGGCGGCGCCACTCCTTGCAGACGGTCCGAAAACGCAGGAGAGAATCGGCGGGCACTCGCCGGAGTATGTTGTCGTAGAGTTCGGAGGGAATGTCCGACATTTTTAGGGATCGAATTCGAAACAGTGTGTGGAGAAGGTTTTTGTTTTAGGGCTGAAAAAAAGAGGGGTTTAGGGCTTGAAATTGAATTCTTACTCTTTTCCTTTTTCTTTCTTGTACATGGTACAAGAAAAAGATGACATTTTTTTAATTATTTTTTATTTTTTATTTTAATATTTAATATATAGTTTTGTTTGTTTTAAACTTAAGGGCAAATTACGGCCAACCCCCTGAGGTACGTTTAAATTACAAAAAAACATCTATTCTTTGGGTAATTACAGCCACTCCCTCCTTTTAATTTTTTATTACGTAAAATTTATGTAATTCGGTTATTTATCTAACCATATCGTATATTTCGTTCGGTAAACGGTATGAAATGTTGGCGTACCAGAATTTTCATTCGATTTTATCGATTTAACATCCCTAAGTTTAGCTCTGGAGGGATTTTTTCGTAAGATAATACAGAGTTGAGAGGGGTGGTTGTAATTACCCAAACAAGAGGGGGGATTTCGTGATTTGACTATAACTCAGGGGTGGCCGTAATTTGCCCTAAATTTGATTATTAGAAAAAAAATCATTATGAGTATTTTTGTCATAGTTAAGTAAGCTTCTGAATCTCATGTAGGGGAGGAATCTCATGTAGGGCCGGTGTGCCATATAAATACAACATGAGGGTTTTTTGATAATGTTTTTTAACATGAGGATGTTTATAATAATTAGAGATTCTACAGGGTGGTCCATGCAAAAACCCATATGATGTGATCAAAATTCTCTCTCCCTTCACATTATTATTGAAAATAAATGAGAATATATTGTAATATTAATTAGGGGTAATATGCAATGAGTTCTTCAAGCCTAATTTGAACTAAATGATGAGTCAAAATTCATTTTTTTAATTAGATCCTTAGTTTGAAATAATATATAAGCCACATCTCTAATTTTTTTTAATCCCTATCTTCCTTTTAATCTAAAATCTCTAACCTATATATTCACATCTCTCCAATTCAGATTTATTTTGTTCTTTTGGTATTCTTCCACGTTCTCTCTCTCCATCTCTCTCACACGTTCTGTGCATCTTCTTTTTACGTTTTTTTCTCTCTCATCTGTCTATCTCTATATCTCTATCTTGCTTTCTTCACTAGTAGCACAAGGAAGGGCCTATAGTAGACGAGGCGGTGGCGGGGGGCTGTGGTGGTTGAGGCGGCGGCAGGGGGCTGTGATTGTTCGAGACGGGGGTGAGGGGTTGTGATTATCGGGGCGACGTCGGTGGGCTGTGTTGCTGTGGTGGTCGAGGCGGCGGGGGGTTGTGCCGCTGTGGTGGTCGAGGCGGCGACACGGAATGTGGTGGTCGAGGCAGCGGCGAGGATGTGGTTATGGTGGATATATGATGGAAAACATATTTTTCTTTTTTACCATTTGAATCTGATTTTCTTGATCTTTAGAGATTGTTCTTGATTTGGGTTCAAAGTGGTAAATCTAGGTTTCCCCAAAGTTGGTAGGTGACTACGATGCGACTGCTGCGGATGTTGGCTGCTAGGGTTTGACGGCTGATGCGTTGACTGCTAGGGTTGGCAAGGATTGGGTGGTTGGCTGGTAGGGTTTGGTCGTACACCGTTGTATACCACAATACACCGTAGTATACCACAGTTCATAGTAGTATATCATAGTATATTGTAGTATACCATAGTCTACTACAGTATTGACAACAAATAAAATAAAATTAAAATTAAAATATATGTAGATTGAATTAAAAAAAAAAACGAAAAATAGTATGTAGAAAAAAAGATTTTTTTTTAATAGTTGTGTAAACCATAGTATTTTAAAAATCTGCTGAATTATTTAACGAAACCTGAAATTTAAAAAATAAGGAAAAAAAATTGTTTATAATAATGTAAAAAATGCTAGAGTGAAATTTGAAAAAAGAAAGATGAGTGAAAGGGCAGTTTCGAAATGAATTTAATAAATGGTGTGAAACAAATGTTATTTAGTTGAGCTCGTCATTTAGTTCAAATTAATTTTGTCACCAGTGACCTATATCTTAAGACCCCTAATTAATTAAACTTTTAGTAATGGCGGTTTTTCTCATTCCCTACATTTTCATATACTAATTGGTCCCCTTAGAAACATTACTACGAGTGCACTTTCTACTTTTATGTTTCACTTATATTTCTCTCCCAATTCTCAATAAAATATCCACAATACTCTTCGCTTTAATTTAAAATTACATTAACCCTTCCTTTTCTTCCAAAAACCTTTTTCCACCAAATACGTTTTTCTTTGTAAAAGTTTTCCAATAAATTTTTTTCGACAAAATGATTTTTTCACCCTTTTTCTTTCTATCTATTTTCTTCTCTCTTTTTTTCCTTCTTTTTTTTCTTGGTACTATTAGTCAAACCCCCCTCTAGCATTTTTTTAATAAGGATGGGTCCAGCCCATTTTCACTTATTAGTGATAGACCCATCTCTTTATTTATTTCCAAATTTACCCTCCCTCTATTCACTACCCATTACCCACCATTTTAGCCTTTTTCTTTTCTTTTTTTAATTTTTTTCGTTTGTTTAATTAAAAAAGATTAATTTTTTTTTAAAAAAATAAAAAAAATAAAAAAAAAAATAATAAAAATAATAAAAAAATAATTTTAAAAAAATCAGTTCTTTTTACCAGAACAACTAAAAGACTTCTGAAAACAACTACAACATTTTCGAAATCAACTATAATATTTCTTGCATCAACTACAATTTTTTTTTAATTTTTTTAGTTCATATTTTTCCATAATCAACTATACAATTATCGTAAACAACTATAAAATTGTGGTGGTCAACAGCAAATTTACCAATAATTGAAGTGAACTGCAAAATTACTAAAACAACTATTTTTTTGTTTCATAATCAACTATAAAATTCTCGAAACCAACTACAAATTTTTTAAAACAACTATAAAATTATCGAAAACAACTACAAAGGAATTGAAACTACAAAGTAAACACCCTTGATTCCAACAAAACTACTATAAAATCAAGCAAATACAACTACAAAAAAAATGCGATCTTCTCCAAAATTTTTAAAACAACTATAAAATTATCGAAAACAACTACAAAGGATTTGAAACTACAAAGTAAACACCCTCGATTCCAACAAAACTACTATAAAATCAAGCAAATACAACTACAATAAAATACGATCTTCTCCAATTCACCTTGTTCATCCCCCGTCTATTCAACACGGCACAATTCTTCATAAATCATGTCTCTTATGGATTTAACCAATCCAACGAAACAACACAAAATTACCTGCGAAAACAAAAAATACAACTATGTAAACCACCAAGTAAAACAACTATAAAATTAACAAAAACAACTACAGCTACATCGTAATCAACAACAAAAATATAACCATAATTTCAGCAAAACTACTATAAATTAGAGCAGATACAACTACATAAACACTATCTTCTTCAATTCACCATCGTCCTGGATTCTTCAACACGACATAAATCTAAAAAATCAATCCATTGCAAAACAAAAGCGAATAAGCATCCATTGCCTCTCCCTTCCATTATGCATACCTTCTATGTGTTATACATCTAATCCAAGGTATTAGACATAAAACTAAATTAGGGACATTCATCACAAATAGTTGATTATGGAATCAAATAGTTGATTCTGGGATCAATACTTCTCAGTCTAAAATAATCCAAATGTATATGAGTCCTTCAAATTATATATGTATTTAAATAAATTAAATCCATCAAAACTAATTAATAATTAAACACATACCCACGAAGCATAGAAGAGCAAACCAGAAGGCTACTAATTACTCAATAACAACCAACAGTATATGCGTCGCTGCCGCCATATACTCCGGCGAGTCATCGCTGATTGCGCGTCGTCTCCACCGGCGGATGTGCAGACAATTTAGAAGGGGGATTGATTGCGGCGATTTGTGGATCAGAGACGAAGATAGACGAGTGGAAACAAGGAAGATCGTGAAGCGTCGTTGGGGAAAAGTTGAGAAACAGTGGAAGTGGAGAGGCGGCTTGGTGGAGATGAGTAGCAGTGGCGCAGGGGAGAGAACGACAGAGAGGGTGGCGGCTTGTAAATAAAAAATGGAAGAAGAATTAGAGAAATAGGGTTTGATGTTGTAATATGGTAAAAGGGTAATATAGACATAAAACTAAAGATTTATATTTATTCTAAATGAAAATATTAATAGGGGGGGTCTCACTAATTATGAAAATGAGAATATATCAACCCTAATATATGTAAATGATGTGGGGGTTCTCACTAATTATCCCTTTTTTCTTCCACTAAAATCATTTAACTTCATTTGCCATCATCAATTTTAACCTCAACTTATACAAGAACAAAAAGAACAACCCATATGGAATTTTACAATGCGACCGTACCCACAATTGTACTAACCCGCCGCGTACTTTTGGTCTAGCTCGGAGCAATTTCCTCGTACTTAGCACTGTTCGTCTGGTACATATGTACTATTTCCGACAATTGAGGATAATAAAGATTCGGATCAGTCAAAAGCTAAAAAATCAAGAGCAAAGCGATTTACCCATACACCAGACTAAGTGAACCCGATCCGA